AAAAAAAAAAAGGAGAGAAAAACAAATATTTCCAAAGAGCAGGAAAAACAATTAAAGATAAGAGGAGCAAAAGAAAAGAAGAGAAAAAAACAAATTAATAATACTAATTTTGGTAATAAAAAAACCCAATGAAGATGAAGGGCCTCTTTCAGGGTATGTCTCTGCTGTCACAATAGATAACATGGGTCGCAGTGTGCAGATAAAAGTCAATGAGTCTCAGCAAGCTAATCGCAGACCCATGAGATTGAGGCAGATTTCTGGCTGCAGGTCCCCAGTTGAGCTCCCTGTCCTCCCGTAGGGTTGAACTCTGCAGAGTTGTATTGCAGGTTTCAGCTGCCCTTCCCCTGAAGATAGACCCGGTCCTGATGGGAGGTGAAGATGACTCCAACTTAGCCAGTACCGTGGTCTAGTGGTCCGGTGTCCTCTGCGTCTTTGTAGTGTGAAACCAGGTGGCTGTACAGAGAAGAGGCCAGAGGAGCGGGGAGGGTGGGGGTTGTAAAGTGGATTGCTGCTGCTGGGGCGCGAGCTGATTCGGCGTGTTCCGCCCGACCCACGACCTTGGTAGGGCGTCCCTCTCTCCATTTTTAACACCTGGCATTCACTGGCAGATTCTTCCTATCATTCTCTCTTTTCAAGAATGTTATAAATATAAATGGAATTACATGGAATATAACTTTTTGTTATTGGCATTTTTTTCTTATTATAGTTCTTTAGAGATTCAACTAGGTGTTAGTAAACAGTGGTTTATTTCTTTTCATTGCTGAGCCATATTTCATAGTATAGTTATGCTACAGATAATTTGACTGTTGACCAGTTGAAGGAAATTTGGTCTATTTCTAGTTTGGGGCTCTTGCAAATAAGCCTACCATGAACATTCATATACAGTTTTTGTTTTTGAACATAAATATCCAATTCTCTGAATAAATGCAGAGTGAAGTTGCTTGGTGGAACAAGGTGCTTGTATATTTAGTTTTATGAAAATCTTCCAACTGCTTTTCAGAGTAGCTGTACTATTTTGCATTCCCAACAGCAAACTATGAATGATTCAGTTTCTCTGCATCAATGTCATCATTTGATATTTCACTATTTTTATTTTATATATAAAGTGTTGTCTCATTGTGGTTTTAATCAGTGTTTTCCTAATGGCTAATAATAGTTCTTTCCCCGAGTTACTTACCACCTATATGCTCTTTTTTCATAAAATATCTGTCTATACCTTTGGGCAAGTTTCTAACTGGATTTTGTTTGTTTTTACTATTGACTTTTGAAAATTCTTTATGTAGCCTAAATACTATTTCTTTGTTTAATCATAAATATTTGTATTTTTTGGAAAATATTTTCTCTTTGTGTATAGCTTGTATTTTTCATATATATATATATATAAAATATATATTTCACATATATGTATATATTCCTGTGTGTCCAAATTGACTATCCCCATGAAATTTGTATTTGTTTCTTCATATTTCCTTCCTTTGTCATCTAAAATAAATATACAATTCAGCCTATCATTTTAATACTTGACCTAATTATATTTAATAAAACTCTTCCTCTGATCTTTTTCCTTTTTGTTGAATGGTTTTGGAGGCTTGCAACTTATGCTAATGATATGTCACAAACTAAGAATATCTATTGCACAAAAAATGAAAGAGTTAAACTTTGCTACTTTGTTATATCAGAGTTTCAACAACCAGTTGGAAAATGGAAAATGGAATTATATCCATAACTATTACTTGATGCTATAAAGTTAATATTTAAATATTTAAAAATAATATCCATCTGATTTTTATCATATTTGTAAGATCATCAAATTAGTATGCTTAATATAATATACTAAGTGTGATGATAGATTTTATTTCTCTATCGGTGATTCTTCTTTATAGAATTTCTAAGAAATGTCACATTCTTCTGTTGTGTCAACAACTGCTCACCAAATGAGTGTTTTATCATAAATGTTGCCTTTTATTCTTTTTTATTTTCACGGAAAATAATGCAATCGTTTCTGTGAACGAAGAAATATTTTTAAGTTTAGCTTTTCTTTTTGTGTTTCTTTTTTTTTTGGCTTTTAGTTTGTGTTTTGTTGTATGAATGAAAGGATTCTGCTTTTTTTTTAATTTTTAGCAAGCATGTGAATATATTCTTGCTTACACCTTGGGAGAGATAACACCCTAAATGTGGCTTAATCAACGCTGAAAACCATTTTCTTTTTTTCCCATTGACCCAATATATGCATTGTTGGAAATGTGTGCTCTAGTGGCATATTTGTAAGTCTAATTAACTGCTTGGCTGTAATCAGGACTATATCAATTGTTGTCATTCTAAATGTTTCCTTTCTTTTTTTCAAACACATTTGCCTGATTGACCTTTTTTTTCTTGTCTTTCTATGGGGCTGTTCCAGGAGCCATGGCTAATCATCTTATAAGCAATGCTCTGCTTCGTCCGCATGGTACTAACAATCCCTATAATACATTGCTTGGGGAACCGGTGGTCTGTAACAACCCTTCTGTCAGCATGTACAACGCACAAGGTGTGCTGCAGTTTATCTTAATTTTTTCAAGTGAGAGTCCCGCTTTATGTAGCTTTTATGGGCACATTCTAGTCTTCTTTCTCCTGCCTTTTGTTTTGGAAGCACACACAGACTACTTTCATATTCTGCCCCTCTTGGTGCTTTTATTTTCCATTTTCCTTAGGTCTTCCTTAGTCAGAAATGGATCCTTTCTGATAAACAAATGCCTGAATCATCAATATGTGTTTGTTTCTCTGTGTTGTTATAAAATGTATTGTGGTTTGTCAGTACTTTTCTTGTTGTTCAGTTATTTCTGTATTAAATACCTAAGTATTTATTTTGAGAAATGAGATATTTGTCTAAGGTAAGTAAGAGAAAGAGAGACTTGATTCAGTAGTCTTAATGGTATAAGGTCAAATAAAATAAAAGTCTGTTATGTTGTTATGAAGTACACTCTGGGCGCAAGGCCTTAGTATTGATAAAAGCTTTACATTAACTCAGAAGTTGCGTCAAACAGAACAGTAGAGGAAAGAACAGTGGAGTGGGCCAGCCGCTCAGGTTCTGCTTTGCCTGTGCTGTCACTTACATGAGCAGGCCCGGGCAGTTCACGAAACTGTTTTTTCCCCTGTACAAGAATCCTCTCAGTGTCCACCAGTTTGAGAAGGTGCAAATTTGTGTCTCAATAAAATAAACATAGGTCTCTTTAGAGCTACTTACAGAATAAGTCCTTGAACAGGCTTTTTACCTTTCTAAATATAAAAACTTGTTAGGAGCACAGAAAATTTAAAATCTCCTACATCTGTATCTATACAGACACCATAAAAATTGCTCAAATAAAAGTCTTATAAAAGAACAATCCTAGTCAGTGATCCACTTACTTAAAATTACATTAAAAAAAAAAATTCACCATAATAAGAGGCTTCCATGGTCCCTTCAAGTTCAATGTGATAGATCAGCAGTATTTAAATTTTTCAAGCAATTTTGAATATAATTTTCATTATCCTTTGTGGCATTTTTTTCCCTTCAGTCAAAGGTAAAAGGTTAGTGGTGGGGAAGATTTGGGGTGAATGTAAGAAGAAGAAGGAAAAGAAAAGAAAAATACCCATGACCACTAGGAAAATGAGAGTCTCATATCATGTGAGTGTCCCCAGTAGTCCTTGGCCAGATAAAAAGATCGCTCAAAATTATTTCAGAAATAAAAAAAGTAATTGATTAAAAAGTGATTTAAGGGGCCGGGGATTTAGCTCAGTGGTTCCGCCACCTGTCCTGCAAGTGCAGGGACCGGCGTTTGATCCCTAGTACCAAAAATAAAAAATTTTTTTAAAAAAGTGATTTAAGGATTTGTTCAAGATATTCATCAACATAATAAAATAATTCAGCCAACTTTCAGTTTCCTCAAGTTTCTTGAAGTCTACATATCTAAGAATCACAGGCTTTTCACATAGAAGGAAGGATAGAAACCTCAGGAAACACTCTTTGCATCATTTTGTAATACCCTCTGGTTACCATGCCTCTACAGCAAAGAAGAGTAAAGCCGTTAAGAAAGCACTCTTTGTTGTCTCCTGGCAATTGTGTAAATACTTAAAATCAGCTCTTTTCCTTTGGCCTTCTATTTTCCTGCAAAAACAGAACCATCAATGTGAGACTTCTGGGTTCTTCATGGATATCCTCTATATTGTTTCATCTGTCAACATCTCTACTCAATTGCAGGACTCTGAATAGCACATTATACAGTGCACCAGGCACCTTATTAACAGAGTAATTTAGAAGACTTTATAAATGCTTGTTCTGTTTTTTCCTTATTTTCCTTGAGCCAAATGACAGGTAAATGTATCATTATAAGCATTTTAAAGTGTGCTGATATACTAGTATGTTTTGAATAATGTTAAATAAAGACTTGAACTTTTCTGCAAATTAAATGTGCTCTACATTATTCACCTTAAATGAAAAATTGTTGGTAATTATTTTTAAATAAGAAATTTTAGTCACATTTTGGCTTTTTTCAGATATATTTTTAACTTTCTTATACAATAAAAAATAATTACTAGTTGTATGTTTTCACTATTTCAGTGTGCCTTCTCATTTTAGTTATTTTACTGGTATCCAAAAACAAGGGATTTTTTTTGAAAGATGACCGACCATTTGTATAAAAATTATTAAAATAAAATTCTCACAGCACAAATTTTAAAATAATACCATATACATAAAAAGTTTTATTCTTGTGAAATCCATTACTGGTTGTTGCTATTATGATTATCAATAAATAAAAAAGGATTAGTCTAAATGGATTTGTCATTTATTGCAGCAAATTTAATAAATGCTTGTTTTACTTAAAAAGAAAAGTAAATAATTTTATTATTTTTTTTCATGGTCAGAATTGGAATTGTTCAGCTATTTGATGTTTTAGTAGTTTTTAGGATGTCAATCATGGTAGTGCTTAAAGAAGTTAATCTTTTAACACTGACCAAAAATAAATATTGGTGATTGTCATATTGCTACTAATCTTATGATTTCAGATGAATGCACTTATATTCTTACTGGCAAGGTGAAATCTTACATGAAATATAGGTGGCTCGGTAGGTACTGGAGTGGTTTATGTTGAATTACCACATGGTTGTTTTCTGTGTGCTCTCTAACGCAGTTGTACCAGTGCTAACCAAGCATAGAAACATTCAGATTTAAAGTATCTATTCTTGCTTGTAAGACTTTTATTTAAAATATGTAAAGATGTGTGTATAGTGTCACTGAAGCATATAGAGTTAGAAATAAAAACGAATGAGATATTCTTATTATATTGAATTCAGAATCTATCTGTGGAAATATTTAAAATCACATGCATAGTATTTCTGGATCATTATCTTGTCAGTACTTGAAATTCAATTTTTGTAAAGATATAACTCATTATAGAAAAACTTGCCAATACAACATAAGAAGTCATGAATTTACTAAAATAAATTTACATTTTAAAGTAATTTAATTCAATTCTAAAACAAAAAATACATATCCACAGGACAGTATATTGTAAAGAATCAATACAGTTGGTAAGAGTACAAGATTATAAGAGTATAAGTTAATGTTCTAATGGCTTTCACAGCCTATGGCAGATGTGAAGGGATGATTGCAGCCGAGTGGGAGGACCCTAGAAGATGGCCGTTCTTTATCCCAGCTCTGCTGTTCTACAGGGAAGTATTAGATGAGACCCAACCGCCATAGGTTGTAGTTTCTTCCTCTCCGGCAAGTGGGAATTATCTTCAGTGATCTCCTGTATTATTATTATCACATTTAAGTGATAAGCCATCGTGAACTCCACAGCCATTTTCATCTGTCAATAAGTAGCTTTGCTGTTTATTTCAAACGCTTCTAAAACTATTTGGAAAGTTAAAAAGAGATTTCCTCTGCATTCTAAACTGTTGTAGGTCTCTTTGCTGAGAAGCAAATCAACCTTTAAAATATGTCAAACTGTCTCTAAAATAGTGGTTAAATTATAACAATTTGGAATACCTTGAAATGATCTGCCCAGTGAATTCATTGGTTTTAAATTTTGTGATATTTGAACCTTCCTATAAACAAATCAACAAGAGCAGTTCTTCTGACCTGATTGCAATATGAGTCGTATTTTTCAAATTTTTTTCTAGGTTTGTTTTTAAATCTCTAAATGTTTGATTGCATGCAACTGTGCAGCAGCCCAGAGGAAAACTTGATACTGATGATGTGCTTCCCCCACATATTATCTTGATACAGAATAGCAAATGGATTTAACCTTTTTTTCCTCTGTAGTCATATAGCTCCTGAATATGAGCTCCAAAAATGACAGTGTTGGTCAGGTTTTAATTAGAAATGGTAAACAACTTTTGTCTCGCTGCAGTGGGGAAAAATAGCCTTTGTACAGGGAAAGAGAAGACACAGAAGGGGAAAAAAAAATCAACACAATTATGAAATCCTTCAACTTTGGTTTTCTCTTCACATCCAAGTTAAAGATTTCATTAATAGCTTTACTAATAAATTCTAAAGTTAGATGACATTCCTTACAAGCAGGTGTGTTCTAGTATCCCACAAATACTATTGAAATATAGCGATGGAAATAGGCACAGTCACCCTCTCTTTATGCTTTCTGGTTTGTGTGGTAATCTTAACTGTAATGTAATTGTGTATTTGTTTGAAATTTACAAGCTGTAGAAATGCTAATTAAAGACTCATTATATTAGCACGTGTTAAGGGGAATTTCTTATTTTCTGACTAACATTTTAGTATTTTCAATTATGATAAACCATGTAACACAGACTCATGAATTTTGGGGCAGTGGAAATTATTTCCTTTGACTCTTTTTTCTGCATATCATCAATTTGCTTTTTACTCATGTTTCTTCTACTGTCGCTGTAAGCTTACTTGTTGTTTTTTCTTTCCTTTTCTTCATGCTGTCGTTTAGAGCCCTACAGAGAGACAAGTATGGGAGTAAAGCTAAACATTGCATATCAAATGTAATTTTTTTTAGTTCACTTTTATTGCATCACATATAGATGATGTAGTTATTAAAAACAGTTCATCTCACAATTTAAAAACTAAAGAGTTTATAAATCAACCTATATAAATATGTGCTAATAGAGATTAGACGCTTTTGTTGTCTGATTCTTTTATTCTGTCACATAATCAACATAGTTGTTAAGTCTCATGTAATGTTTGTGTGAGTTAAATTGTTTTTAAATTAAGCATTTATTTTTGCTAAGTAATTCATAAACTTTTAATTTTTATTAGTACATTCCTTCATAAAAATGTGTCACATGCATACCCACTTTATTTTACTGTGGCTGTTTTCAATCTGTACCTAATGCATTGACAACAGAAATTTAAAAAAAAAGTTTCAATGCATCAGCCACCCAACCATAACAATTAAGCATACCATACAGCCTCTCCAACTGCAATCACCCATCACATACAGCACTTTAAAAGGCATTTACCTTTTTTTTCTTAACATTGTGGATTTGTGTACAAGATATAACATGAAAATAAATGGCTTCAACCTATGTCTGTGATGGCTGTTTATTGAAATCTGTATCACTTGAATACACAGACTGCAACAGATATCCATATAAATTTGACAGTATGCAACATTTCATTTAAACCGGCATTGAACTAGTTGAGTTTTGATGAACATAACCGCATCACAGATATAGAATGAGTGCTGTATTTTCACAAGTTAGTAATGTATTGAGAAGCTTAATAAAATTCTTCAATTAATTTTTCTGTAAGGTAGTACTCTTTTTATGTAGCAATATTGGTTATGTGTTTTTTGTGGTTGCATTTGAAGTGATTTATGAAACTATTATTGATTCTTGAATTTCTGTTTATTCAAGAGAATGCAAAAACCTTGAAAAAGTGTATGTTCAAATTTATTTTAATGCAGCTGTTTCTTACTAGAATATAATGTTTCCCCTCTTTTAAATCCAAAATTTGATATACTCCAAAACCATCACACATTATAAAATGGTAGCTTTTGTACTGACACTATGTTTTTAGGAATCAAATCTCTGTGTTTTTATGCATTTTCTTGTGGTATTAACTAATGACCCTAAACAATCACTAATGGATTAATTTATAACAATAAGCAAAATGCTTATAGCAGAAACAATTAGAAGTAAATCCAGATACTTTGAAAGTTTCTATGTGTAAATTATTTTGATCTGGCATTTGACTAAGCATTATTTCATGACTATATCATTCTGCCAAATTTAGCATAATCCTTTTGTCATTTTTTATGTAGGGATTATTTTAATGTCACAAAATTATATTTCAAATTATTAGAGACTATTTACTTCTTTTAGTTTGGTCTGCCTATTCAAACTACCCTACCTGAATTATGTTAATATTATAGCTATTTTGATAATAAAACATGTAAAATTAAATGTCATGAATTACAGTATTTAATTGACTTTGATGTATATAAATTGAAAGCTATGAATGACTACACAAAAATTTGGTACTATTTTGCTCAAGTTATAACCAAATATGCTTCAAGTAACATCAGACAACATTTGTGTGAAACTGACAATTGATAATTTGTAGGCTTTTTAGAATTCTTTTAAGATTTATTTCAGATACTTTGTTTCCATTTATAAGATTTCAATCAATTGTCCAATGGTCATAACATAGATATAGTTATGTGCCTATAAATTTAATAGCATTTTTTGTTTCTCTCCAAAAATTTAATGCTTAAAATGCTAGCAACATGTACATACGTCATAGTCAATGAATGTTTTTGCTTCTGTATGTTGTCCTGTGGCCTCCTGGATATCCATGTCATAGTGTCTTATAATCTTTTTCAGAGGGGCTTCTGAACAATGCCAGGGATACAAGTGTCATGGATACTCTACCACTGAATGGTAACCATGGCAATAGTTACAGCATTGCCGGTGGCGAATACCTGAGCAACTGTGTGCAAATCATAGACCGAGGCTATAACCATAACGAAACCGCCCTAGAGAAAAAGATTCTGAAGGAACTCACTTCCAACTATATCCCTTCTTACCTGAACAACCACGAGCGCTCCAGCGAACAGAACCGGAATCTGATGAACAAGCTGGTCAATAACCTGGGCGGAGGGGGCGAAGAGGACAGCATCGTCCTGGACGACGCCACATCCTTCACCCACGAGGAGAGCCTGGGCCTGGAGCTTATCCATGAGGAGTCGGACGCGCCCCTGCTGCCACCCAGGGTGTACTCCACCGAGAACCACCAGCCGCACCACTACTCCCGGAGGCGGATCCCCCAGGACCACAGCGAGAGCTTTTTTCCCCTCCTGACCAACGAGCACACGGAAGAGCTGCCCTCGCCCCCCAGGGACCCGCTCTGCACCAGCCTGCCGGCCCTGGCCGGGGCGCCCGCCGCCGACAGCGCCGCCGCCTGCACCCCGCCCGAGCCGGCCGCTGCCCGGGGCGACGCAGAGGACATGTACTACAAGAGCATGCCCAACCTGGGCTCGCGCGCCCACGGCCAGCAGCTGCACACCTACTACCAGCTGGGGCGCGGCAGCAGCGATGGCTTCATCGTGCCGCCCGGCAAGGACGGGGGCTCTCCCGAGGGGAGCTCGAGGGGACCCGCGCACCTGGTCACGAGTCTATAGAGGCCGCGCGAACAGCGGGACGAGCCTGCAACACCTACCTGCGGACTGTGCAGAGTTGATATAAGCGGTGGTAATCGTGTGTACTCCTAAATCTTTATGCTGATGTTCTTGAAAGACAAAAACTCTCAGACTTAATAATTATTATTATTATTATTTTCTTTTCTTTTTTTTTCTTTTTTTTTTTTTGCTGGGATTTTTAGGTCAGCCCAGGGGAGAAAGATAACTGCTGGCTTCCCCAGTGCCCTATCCTCTCTTGTCCTTTACCGCTCAGATGGAAACTTCATTATGTTAATGAACGAGATTGGAAGACCATGGCTCTCATTGCGGCCTTGTTGAGTTCTGTTGTGTTTGTTTTGACATCTCTGATGCTCTGTTGCTAGAATTGCAGGACCTGATTTTTGAAAGGCCAGAACAGTTGGAGATGAGTCACAGTGCTGCACAAGCACACATAAAGCAAAGCAAAACTGTACCCCGTAGTGGTTTATGGTCACTCACAACCTGAATTCACCACAGCAGGAGTCACTGTGGAAAACAAAAGAAAACAACAAAATTAATAACAAAATGGAGGGGAATTCTAGAATTATATGCTAAATGCATACTTTATGATTTGCTGTATTAACTGATGATAAAACTAATGGCAGAAAAAATTGAACAGTTTCTATGTAATGTACAGATACTAGCATTGCACATATAGTCTGCTTTCTGTTCTCCAGAATTTGAGTCCTGTTAATGTAGTGGGGAAAAAAAAGATTTTTTTTTCTTTCGTGCTAGTCTTGCAAGTTTGTCTACCAGTAAAAGAGCAAAGGTTCCTTCCTTCCTTTCCTTTCTTCATTTGCTTTTTTTCTTTCTTTCTTTCTTTCCTTCTTTCTTTCTTTCTTTCTTTCTTTCTTT